TGTGTATAGTTTAGTGTAGTTTTTTGTTGTTGTGTATAGTTTAGTGTAGTTTTTTGTTGTTGTGTATAGTTTAGTGTAGTTTTTTGTAGTTGTGTATAGTTGTCTATAGTTGTGTATAGTTTAGTTGCATGTAGCTGTGTATAGTTGTGTAGTTGTGTATAGTTGTGTAGTCTCACAGCTCCTGAACAGGACTGGTTTCAGTAGTTAAGTATAGTTTTATATAGTTTAGTGTAGTTTTTTTGTAGTTGTGTATAGTTGTCTATAGTTGCGTATAGTTTAGTTGCATGTCGCTGTGTATAGTTGTGTAGTTGTGTATAGTTGTGTAGTCTCACAGCTCCTGAACAGGACTGGTTTCAGTAGTTAAGTATTGTTTTGTATAGTTTAGAGTAGTTTTTGTAGCTGTGTATAGTTGTGTATTGTTTAGAGTAGTTTTTTGTTGTTGTGTATAGTTTAGCTGCCTGTAGATGTGTATAGTTGTGTATATTTTAGTGCAGGTTTTTCTTGTTGTGTATAGTTTAGTTGTGTATAGTTGTGTATAATTTAGCTGCCTGTAGCTATGTATAGTTGTGTATAGTTTAGTGTACTTTTTTGTTGTTGTGTATAGTTTAGTGTAGTTTTTTGTTGTTGTGTAAAGTTTAGTTGTGTATAATTTAGTTGTGTATAGCTGTATAGTTGTGTATAGTTTAGTTGTGTATAGCTGTATAGTTGTGTATAGTTTTGTGTAGTTTTTTGTTGTTGTGTATAGTTTAGCTGCCTGTAGCTGTGTATAGTTGTGTACAGTTTAGTGCAGGTTTTTCTTGTTGTGTATAGTTTAGTTGTGTATAGTTGTGTATAATTTAGCTGCCTGTAGCTGTGTATAGTTGTGTATAGATTAGTGTAGTTTTTTGTTGTTGTGTATAGTTTAGTTGTGTATAGTTTAGTTGTGTATAGTTGTGTATAATTTAGCTGCCTGTAGCTGTGTATAGTTGTGTATAGATTAGTGTAGTTTTTTGTTGTTGTGTATAGTTTAGTTGTGTATAGTTTAGTTGTGTATAGTTGTGTATAGTTTATTTGAGTATGGCTATGTAT